AGTACCCTATTTGCATATATACCTACATGACAGAAAAGGGCATCAAATCTCATTATAGATAGTTGTAAGCCACCTTGTGGTTGCTGGGAATTGAACTCAGGACCCGGTAGAGCAGCCAGTGCTTTTAACTGCTGAGCCATCTCCCTGGCCCCCTTAAAATTTCTTTTTTTGTTTTTGTTTATTTGTTTGTTTTGGGGGGGTTTATTGTTGTTTTTTCGAGACAGTTTCTTTGTGTAGCTATGGCTGTCTTGGAACTCCCTCTGTTAACCAGTCTGGCCTTGAACTCGCATAGATGCACCTGCTTCTGCCTCTAGAGTGTTGAGATTAAAGGCAAGTGCCACCACAGCCCTAGAGTGTTTCTTTCCTTTTAAAAAAGACTTATTTATCTTGCTTTTGAGTGTATGAATCTTTGTCTATATATATGTATGTGTGCCATATGGTGCCCTGGAGGTCAGAAGAGGGCAGTGGGACTGAAATTGGAGTTATGGACAGTTGTTGTGAGCCATCATGTGGATACTGTGGAACTGAACCCAGGTCCTCTACAAGAGCAGCAAGTGCTCTTAACTGCTAAGCCACCTCTCCATCCCTTTGTTTTCTCTTTAGCCAGCAGGATTTGTTTGCTTGTAACAGGATCTCTTGTAGCTTAGGCTGGTCTTGAATGTGTTTTGTAGCCTACGCACATGACTTGAACTCCATATCCTTCCTTTGCCTCTTGAGTACAGATATTGCAGATGTAGCTTCATGATTCTTAATATGTGCTAGATAATGTCCAATGATATATATTGTCAAAACTTTTTCCCAGACTGTAGCTTATCTCATTACTTTGTTTATAGTGCCTTTAAAAAAAATGGGTCTAGAGAGATGTTTCAGCGGTCTAGAGCGGTCTAGAGCAGTCTAGACCATCTTCAATTTCTAGCATCCACAGTGGCCCACAACCATCCTAACTCCAGTTCCAAGGGATCTCTTGCCCTCTTCTGACCTCCATGACACCAGTCATGCATGTGGTGCACATACATACATGCAAGCAAAACATTCATACTCATAAAATTAGACAGCTTTTTAAAATTTAAAAATGATAGCCGGGCACGGTGGTGCATGCCTTTAATTCCAACACTCAAGAGGCAGGTTTTCTTTGAATGTGAGGGCTGTTAATACCCATTGCTTAGGTAAATAAAACAAGCATAGTAATGACTAGAAATAGTCCATACTCTTTCTTTTTTTAAAAAAATTATTTATTTTTATTTCATGAGCATGTATATTTTGCCTGCATTTACATCTATAAAAGTGTCAGGTCCCCTGAAACTGGAGTCAGACAGTTGTGAGCTGCCGTGTGGGTGCCGGGAATTGAACCTGGGTCCTCTGAAAAGGGCAGCCTGTGCTCTTAACTGCTGAGCCATCTCTCCAGCCACATCAATACTCTTAGTAAGAATGTAGTTTGAACATTTAACCATGTAATTTTATAAAGGTCATTTAGGAAGAACCCTAGTACTAACCTGAACTCCTTGTCATTATCAGCACATTCCCAGTTTTGCTTTTTTTTTTTTTTTGGTGAAACTGAGATCTGTCCAAACACAGGATCCGACTAACCAATGCATTGATCCGGATGGTTTGACAATATAATGTAATGGCAGCTAGTGGGTAGCTCATTTCCTGATGATTTTTAATGGAGAATTACTTTTGGAGGGAATTTCTGCATGACACTGAGAGCTCAGCCCAGGGCTTTGTGCATGCTAAGAAAGCAATAACAGAGTTCTTGATATGAAGCTTCCGCTGGCTCAGGCTATCGTGAAGTCCTGATCCTTCTGTCTTTGCCTCCTGAGTGCTGAGAGTCCATGTAGGCACCACACCACGCTGATGGTAACCTTTTAGATAATGGTGTAGAAAGTTAATTGACATCATCCTAAGAATGGGATCGAGGATTTGTCTTGGCCTTTAAACTCTTTAATGTGGAGATTGTGGGGAGACTGGGGATCAAGGGTAGAAGATACACAACAGAATAAAGGAATGAAGGTAAGAGAAAAATTACCTTAAGACTGAATTAAATGGGAAACTTCTTAAGTCTTCAAAAACAAGACTCAGTGTGGCCACTATTCAGTCCGGTGTCACTCACTGAGGGCCAAGGAGCAACAAGTTGGGTAGTGACCTGAAACAAACTCGCTGCTGTGAACACTGTTTCTGAGAGCATCAAAGAAAGCTGTTCAGTACGTAGATAGAACCTGTGTGACCCGGATGCAGCGCTGAGCAAGACCCACAGCAATGGATTGAAAAGGCTTTTTATCTCAGTGTGAAGAAGATGCTTATAAGGGACAGAAACTCAACCCCTGGCAGGGATATGCTGACAAAAGTCAAAGCCAGTATCGTTTTCTTGGCATGAGGAGACCAAGCCAAGATAGTCGGGAGGCTTAATTTATGTGGGTCAAGCAGAAGCAGGAGGCTCGTGCACGGCTGGTGACAGAAGTGACCCACTGTGCTGAATGAATGAGGGGAAGGCTGTGTGGCTCGTGAATAGCTGTGCAGGTAAGGGAGGAGTGAGAGTTCTCAAGGAAAGGGAGGCAAGCCAGGCCGGGGGTCAGGAAAGACCCCACGGTCATTTAATCTGAGCAGGGGTCCGGTTTTCAAAGGCTGTGTAGATAGTAACAGGTGGAAGGAAGGTCTGGTCCTTCGTTGTTTCCTAGCAAGTCAGTTGAGAAGGTTCATAAGGACACAGAGTAGGGCTGGACAATAGCAGTCCCTGAAAGAGTGACTGTTGCCATCAAAGATGAGAGGGCAGATCTCACCTAGGCCTGTGTGCTAAAAGAGCAGCCAGAACCGTGGGCTGCAGGGGAGAGGAGGGGAGGGGTAGCTCATGTGTCTTGGCAGTTCTGTACCACTGTGTGGATTAAAGGCATCCATTGCCTGGAATTTCAAGTATCTGCCTATCTTCAGATTAAAATATTAAGCAAGGCATAATAAAACCATTTCCTTTGTTTCAAATGGAAGCTGCATATAAGATGAGTTATATACTGAAAGGGTTTTAGGAATAAAAGAAAAATATGTTCAGGGTTTTTGCTTTTAACTTTTTCAGTGAATTTTATTAGTTGTTACATTATGATTCAGGGTCCCAGGGTAAGGACTATCATAAATCCAGGTCCCCTTTTTACTCTCTGAGGAGAAAAGAAAAACAGAACAGAGGAGAGGTGGGCGGAGCCAGGTCAGCTCTTCCCAGGAAATGTGCCCTCTGCTCTGCAGCCATCCCAGCTGAGGCCCATGATACGGGGCTAAGGGATTGTACACACAGGGGAACCACTCACACAAGTCACCCAAAAGCCTTAGCAGTCATTGTCGTCTCCCAGCAGTGTGGCTCCAGGGAGTTCTGCCAGCAGCTCCTGGTCTGCTTATGCTGTGGGTTGGGTGTTTCGTAGTTTTTTATTTTAGTCTTGATGTCTGCGGCCATGGTGCTGACTCCTAGACTGCCCCGGAGCAGCACTAGTTCAGTGTGACCCTTAGCAGAGTCACCAGTGCCAGTTGTTCATTTTTTAGATCTCCGTTTGCTACAACAGATACTCTATCTTTTAAAGAGGGGTGTTCCAGACCGGGTTTGGTAGGACATGACTGTAAGTCCCAGCACTCAAGAGGCTGAGGCAGAGGATGGTAAGGAAAGTTTGAAGCAGCATGGACAGGGTTTCTCTGTAGCTTTGGAACCAGTTCTGGAACTAGCTCTTGTAGACCAGGCTGTCCTTGAAGTCTCTTAGAGAGAGTCACCTGTCTCTGTCTCCAGAGCGGTAGGATTAAAGGCATGAGCCACCACCCGCCCAGCCTGGGTGTGGATAATTTCTATGTGAGTAAGTTTGAATGGGGTAGTTCCTGTCAGTGTTTCTTTTCTTTTCTTTTTCTTTTTTTTTTTTTTTGGTTTTTTTTTTTTTTTATCTTTTTAAAAGCCTACCTGTCTCATGTGTCGGCAACTCTGCCAGTCTGGTTTTTATTTATATTTTTTTAATTTATTTATTTATTAAAGATTTCTGTCTCTTCCCCGCCAATGCCTCCCATTTCCCTCCAAATTTTTTTTTTTAGGAATTCATTTTAGAAAGAAAACATTCTCTGTTTCCATTGTAATCTTTTTTTAAGATGTATTAATTTATGATGTATAGTGTTCTGCCTGTACACCAGAAGAGGGCACCAGACCTCATTTTAGATGGTTGTGAGCCACCATGTGGGTGCTGGGAATTGAACTCAGGACCTTTGGAAGAGCACTCAGTGCTCTTGACCTCTGAGCCATTTCTCCAGTCCCTCCACTGTATTCTTTTTTTTTTTTTTTTTTTTTTTTTTTTGGAGACAGGGTTTCTCTGTAGCTTTTTGGTTCCTGTCCTGGAACTAGCTCTTATAGACCAGGCTGGCCTCGAACTCACAGAGATCCGCCTGCCTCTGCCTCCCGAGTACTGGGATTAAAGGCGTGCGCCACCACCTCCCGGCCCTCCATTGTATTCTTAAGGAATCTTTGATCCTATAATACCCAAGAAACACCGATTTGAACAATTCACAGAGCAGCTGGAGAGATGGCTCCTCAGAGGTGAGGAGCACATACTGCTCTTCCAGATTGCGATATGATGGCACACCACTGCCTGTAGCCCTAGCTCCAGGAGGATCCAGTTCCTCCATCTGGCTTTCTCGGACACCTGCACTCACTTGCATATACCCTTACACAGACACATAATAAAAGATAAATTTTTAAAAAAAGAAAAAAAATGATCATGGCATGCAAGCTTGTGCCCAGGGGGATTTCCAGTGCTCTCTGTTGTGAAGGGATGCACAGCAGTCTTGTCAGGAGGGTTCCAGCAGCAGCATAGAACTGGTGTGACGCTGGGCTGACCAGTCATCTTTGTGGTGAAATGTGTGAAATGTCATCTTTGTGGTTTTTGTTTTGTTTTTCTTTTGAGCCCATGGACAGTGAATGCCTTCCTTCCTGCCTGAGACTGTACCTTTCAGCTGTATGTGTCATGCCTCCCCTTGGTGTTATTTTCCAGATGGGAACAAAGAGAGCTGCCCAATGGACGTGTCTATTATGTTGACCACAATACCAAGACCACCACCTGGGAGCGGCCTCTTCCTCCAGGGTAAGGCCTGAGACTCTGGAATGGGTACCAGGGATCTCCCATGGGGGAGTCTTTCACTCTGCCATGCTGTCTCAGTCATCCCCTGTCTTTCTTTGCTGGCTTGCCCCTCCTTCCGCTCTCCCCTGTCTCCAGCCTGTCCTTTACTCCACATGCATTGTATTGGACTCGACTCATGGCAGGACCTTCATTATTGTGTGATAGTCAGTGCTGACAGGGCTGTTGAGACCTGGAGACAGGTCTGAGGAAGCCTCCTAGATCTCGGGGTCTCAGTGGCCTTACCTTTATCTTTCCCTCTCTCTTTCTTCCTTTCTTTCTTTTTTTTTTTTAAGATTTGTTTATTTACTATGTTTACAGTGTTCTGCCTGCACACCAGGAGAAGGCACCAGATCTCATTATAGATGGTTGTGAGCCACCATGTAGTTGCTGGAAATCGAACTCAGAACCTCTGGAAGAGCAGCCAGTGTTCTTAACCTCTGAGCCATCTCTCAGCTTTCCCTTAGTCAGCTTTCTGTATGGAGACACCTTTGTGAGGATTGGCAATTCAGCAGTTCAGTTCCTTTCTTTAGAGGCAGCAGACATTTACCCTAGTTTGGGTTGGTCTCTCTCTCTCTCTCTCTCTCTCTCTCTCTCTCTCTCTCTCTCTGGTTTTTTGTTTGTTTGTTTAATTTTTTTTTAGGCGATTTCTCTGTGTAGCCATGGCTGTCCTGAAACTCGATCTGTAGACCTGGCCTTGAACTCACAGAGCTCCATCTGCCTCAGCTTCCCGAGTGCTGAGATTAAAGGTGTGCACCACCATCACCTGACACCCCGTATCTCTTAATGACTTTTCCTATCCAGTCCCCTTAATTTAGTCTTTGTTCTTAGGATATACTATAATGTTTTAAAAGTTTCTGGGGTTAAATAGGGCATAGGGTAAGTAAGAAAGATGGCCACGGACTAGGGAAGTTCTCAGAGATTAAGAGCACTGACTGGTCTTCCAAAGGACCTGGGTTCAGTTCCCAAAACCCATATCAGGTGACCGACTACTCATAACCACCTGTAATTCTAGCTCTAGGGAGTCTGATTTCCCTCTTCTAGACTCTGGGAGCAGTCACACATGTGCACACCTACACACATACATATAAATGTAAATTAAAAATCTCTTAAAAAAAAAGAAAAAGAGGAACAGGACTCAAAGCTGGAGAGATGGAACAGTTGGTAGAGTCCTTGCCAGGCAAATATGAAGACCTGAATTTAGATCCCAACACCTGTATAAAAGCCAGTGTGTACCTGTAAGCCCAACACCGAAGGGACAGAGACAGGAAGATCCCTGGGGGCCACTGGCCAGCCAGTCTAGCTGAATTGGTAGGTTCCGGTTCACTAAAATACCCTGCTTCAAAAATAATAAGGGGAGCAACAGAGGAAGACACCAATGTCAACCTCTGTCCTTGTACATATGTGCATATACATGTGGCAGATATGAACATGTACACAAATGTAACATGTATACAAATGTACATTTCCATGTACAGCCTGCCCCCCAAAGCAGGTTGCTCCTAATTTCTCTGGGCTTGGTGAGAACACAGTGAAGTTCTCCAAAACCGAAAGCCAAGAAAGACTGTGCAAGTTCAAGGAGAAAAGGGGTTTGATTTCCTGTCTGCCAGGGACAGAACGTTCTTTCCACATGTGTCTCCTGGTCTTGAGAACTTCCGAAAGGGAATGAATTCTGCTCTCAAGAAAGATTCGCCCTCAGCCCACCTAGTGCAGCCATGAAGAGCGCCTGCATAAATATGAACACCATCCTCCCAGTGTACCTAGGGGAAGGATGGTGGCTGTGGGGCTCTGGGAAGAGCCTCTGTGCTTTGTTAAGTGTGTGCCAGGCAGTCCCCACCTCACTGTCTGGCTCCACAAATTTCCACAGGCCTGCTGCTGTTGCTCCAGTTTCCAGCAGAGCCTTTGGTTTTCCTTCTTGCTTTCCTGGGAGTGGTGCTCCTCATCCGTTATCCCTAGTGCTCGCTCTCTTTCCTGGGAGTGGTGCTCCTCATCCGTCATCCCTAGTGCTCGCTCTCTTTCTACTTGGACTCGACGTCAAGTGAAGGCTACCGAAGTTAAACATTGGCTTCTTAGTTGTTTTTTTTTTTAAATTTCCACAATTTATTGTGGGAATGGTGGAAATTTTTATACTGTTACGGAAATTTTCAAGTATAGAGAATGGTATAATGAGCCTCACATAGTCGTAGGCAGTTTTATCTGTAGCACGAGTTGTCCCCTTATAGCAGCATGTGGGTGAAATCAAGCCCTCCACCCATTTTTGTAAATATTTTCTGGGAACATGGCCATATTCATTTGCTAACCACTCTCCTTTTTCCTTTTTTCTCTCCTTTCAGTACTAGGGATTCACACTCAGTGCCTTGGGTGTGGTCGCCATGGTACCTCTGAGCCACACTGAGGTTATGGGAGGGTTTTTTGTGGCTGGTTAGCAGGTTGGTTGGTTGGCATTTTGTTTTGTTTTTGAAACAAGGTCTCTCTATGTACCCCTGGCTGGCCTAGCACTCAGTATGTAGCAGACTGGCATCTAACTCAACATAGCTCTGCCTGCCTCTGCCTCCTGAGTCTAGAGCTAAAGCTGTGTGTGCATCACCACATCTGCCCCGAGTGGTCCCGAGTCTAGAGCTAAGGCTGTGTGTGCGTCACCACATCTGCCCCGAGTGGTTGGGTTTTTGAGACAGGCGTCTCACTCTGAAGCCCAGGCTGTTCTGGAACTCACTTTGTCTCATTAAGTAATGAAGGCTGCCCATGAACCTTTAGTGATTCTTTGCCTCAGCCTCCTGAGGGCTGAGTTTATGTTTCTAATGGTTGCTTTTATTCTTCAAGCAAGCATAATCAAGTAACTGCAACACAGACTGTACCAGAAAGCTTTAAACATTTACTTTATAGAAAACCTTTCCAGTCTGTGATCTGTAACCCTCATCCACTTTCCTTAGTTTTCTTGGTTTAGGTTATTTTGAGGCAGATCATATACATTATCATTTACCCATATTTCAGTACACACTTCTAAAATATGCCATTAGCCAGGCATAATGGCACATACCCTTGATCCAGAGCACTTGGGAGGCAGAGACTGGTGGATCTTAGTGAAGCCAACCTGACCTGCAGAGTGAGTTTCCGGACAACCAGGGCTACATAATGAGATCTAGTCTTGAAAAGACAAACAAACAAACAAACAAAACAAAAACAAACAACAACAACAATAATAACAAAAAGTCACTAAGGTAAAATCTCCATGTTGTTAGTATTTGTGATGGTACATCAAAATTACAGAACCAGACCACTTCATAAGCAGAAAAAAAAAAGATTTATTGGGGCTCAAATTGCAAAGGCCGTCTCAAGGTGGTGGGGAAGCAGAGAAGCCCATTTGTATGGCAGCAGGGGAGAGCCTGAGCTGATACATACTGTTCGTATTGATCCAGAACTAGGTGTCTTGTGGTTGACCTTTCGGGGAAGCTTAAGGGAGGTTCAGCTTTTCTAGTAAATGGAAACCTTTAGGCTTGTCTGCCTGGTAACAGTTCTGTTTACCTGACCTAAGTTCTGTGTAGGACTGCCACCAGGACTGCCATGTTGGCTGAGATGGGGCTTTGGTCCTGGCAGTTAGCAGTATTTATTGTTCCATATCCTCCAACACACAGTCAACGTTTGTATTTCCCTAAATGTGTCACAGGTCAAGTGTTGACTTAACAGTATGACTTGCACTTTTAAACTTTAGAACAAGAATGCTGTAAAATGTACTGTTACTGTCTCTGAACCCTCTGGTCTATAAGAAGTATAGATGTTGTTTGGGCTTTCTTTTCCTTCCCCCTCTCCTTTCCTTTCCTTTTCATTTCCTTTCCCTGCCTTTTCCTTCCTTCCTTCCTTCCTTCCTTCCTTCCTTCCTTCCTAATTTCCTTCCTTTTATTTGAGACAGGGTTTCTCTGTGTCATCCTGGAACTCGCTCTGTAGAACAAGCTGACCTCAAACTCAGAGATCTTACTGCCTCTGCCTCTCAAATGCTAAGATTACACATCATCCCTAGTTGATGTGTAAACATTGATCTATTGAGCATTTTGGAAGAGCTAAAGTAAATATGGGGTTCTAAGAATGACTAGGGTCTTACTATTCATTACATATTAAGATGGGACACCAATCAAGCTTTCTTCTTTCTAGGATAGGGTTTTTGTGACTAGATTTTTCTTTTCTTTGTGGTTTTTTTTTTTTTTGAGGCAGACTCTCATGTAGTGCAGGGTGGCCTCAACCTTGCTATATAGCCAAGGCTGACATCAAACTTCTGATCTTCCTGCTTCTGTTTCCAAATGCTGGGATTCCCAGTATGCACCGCCTCACCTGGCTTATGCAGTTTTGGGTCTCATGAATGCTAGGCAAGCACTCTACCAACCTAGCCACAGCTTGGCTCCCAGGATACTTTTAATGTTCTCATGGGAGAAGCTCATCTTGGTACCTAACACAATTCTTCCAGAATTTTAAGTGAAGGGTTCTTACTTCTTTGTATAGTAAGAAACCTAGAAAGAACATAAACAGCCGGGCGGTGGTGGCGCACGCCTTTAATCCCAGCACTTGGGAGGCAGAGGCAGGCGGATCTCTGTGAGTTCGAGACCAGCCTGGTCTACAAGAGCTAGTTCCAGGACAGGCTCCAAAAAACCACAGAGAAACCCTGTCTCGAAAAAACAAAAAAAAAAAAAAGAAAGAACATAAACATTTAACATAGTTAATAACAGAAGTTTCTGCCCAAGGTAGCATGAGATACAATTATGATCAACTTTAAAATAGCAAATAAAACCATTATCTCAGCAAACCTACTGATTGAAACAAGATTAAAGCCAGGTGGTGATGGCATATGTTTTTAATCCCAGCACTCGGGAGGCAGAGACAGGCGGATCTTCAGGAGTTCAAGGCCATCCTAGTCTACAGAACGAGTTCCAGGACAGCTAGGACTGTTAACAGAAAAACTCTGTCTTGAAAAACCAAAAAAAAAAAAGGAAAGGAACAAGATTGAATCAAATACTTGTATCGGCGTAAATAAATGCAAGGCAGATATTAAAGAATATATACAGCTTTAATGGCTAAATAAACCTACAGAACCGAGGTTCCTGCGTAGCACAGGAGGCAGGAAAAGGGACAAGCCGCCTCCCACGCCCGATTTATCAGTATACATTCGCCCGAGGCAAACCCGCCCCCTAAAGGGGCTGGCTTAACCCTACAAATACTTGATCTATTATGGCTACCCTATTATAGCAAATTCCTGGCAGCATATGTGCAGTGCAGTCCTTTTATTCTGGAGCACAAAGTATTGGGCCTGTAGCCAAGGCTGCATCAGGTGCTCTTTGGTCCGACCTGAGCAATGCTCAGACCAGAGCTCGGCAGGGGGGAGGGAGACACTAGCAAGCCCCACAGACAGTTGTAGGAGGGCTATACTTACATAGGAGGATGGCATCAGTGGAGGTGCGGTGGGAATATGAAAGGTTGTAGGGAGTGGTGCATGAAACCGTTTGCCAGAGTGGAAGATTCAAGTCAAACTGGATGCTCCAGGTGTGCCCTGTCAAGCCTTTGTTTTTGGTGCTCGGTGGAGCCAGAGCGAGTAGGCTAACTCATCTCTGTTCTTAAAGATTATGACTCCTCTCAAGATTTATAGGGAAATAAATAATGAAATTACACAGCTTAGAAGTTTGAAACTTTGGAATAGAGAGATGTTAACAGCTTGACAACTGTTAAGAGTACTTGCTGTTCTTCCAGAAGAGCTGAGTTTGGGTCTTAGCACCCATGTCAGCTGATGTACAAGCATCTGTAACTTCAGCTCCAGAGGACTCTGTACCTTCTTCTGTTGTGGGATATTTGAGCACAGAGGACTCTGTACCTTCTTGCTGACACTCCCAAGACTGCCAATAAAGTTTACTTTGAATCAGACAGCAGAGCTAGCTACTAGCTGGCCAAAATTAGCCTTACAGGGTGACCTCCTCTCTCTTTCTCAGTTGATCCACAACATTCTTCTGGCCTCCTAGAGCACTCGTACACATGTGGCATGTGAATGTGCACACACATGTGCATACACACACGTGCACACACACACACATGTGCATACACACGCATGTGCACACACACGCGTGCGCACACACATGCACACACACGCACATGCACACACATGCGCACACACACACATGTGCACACACACACATGTCTTAAGAAATTTGAGGGCTGGAGAGATGGCTCAGAGGTTAAGAGCACTGCCTGCTCTTCCAAAGGTCCTGAGTTCAATTCTCAGCAACCATATGGTGGCTCACAACCATCTGTTGTGAGAGGTCTGGTGCCCTCTTCTGGCCTGCAGGCATACACACAGACAGAATATTGTATACATAATAAATAAATAAATATTTTAAAAAAAAGAAATTTGAAATTCACCCAGCAGATGACTTCTAGGTAAACATGTGGACTGAACATGTATTTATCCCATTCTTCCTGAAAACTTGCTAAAATGGCAATAAATTCATTTTAGGAAAAGCACAAATGTTCAAAAATAAGACATAGCCAGGCATGGAAGCACATGCCTATAATCCTAGCATAGGCCAGAAGATCAGAGAAGTTGAAGGAAGGATGAAGGAAATAGAAGGAGAGGGAGACAGACAAACAGACAGCACACAGGAGATAGTGACCCAGGTGTCTTTGCTGATAGGCAGGTGGTAGAGCTGAGGAAGCCTGCGGTCTGAAGGTCTGGCTGGATCTCAGCACAGAGCACCAAAGACCCGAGGAGGGTGTGTATGAGATGAAAGCCTGGAGGTCACCTCACGGCTTCTTTGCAAGAGCAGTTCAAGTCTCAGGCTGTCTGTCATCTTTCCCATTCTGTTGCCTCATGTATATGTTTGAGCACATGCATCCTGCCACATGTGCATACACACAGACATACACACACACAGACATGACTGTCATTGGCCCTGAAAACTTCTCAGAGAGCCAGACCATCGTTAGGGGCACAAGTCATAATTGTAGCAACGGATGAACTGAAGAAACCATCCTTAGGTTAAAGACTGGAGGGTTTTTTGTTTGTTTTGTTGTTTTTTTCTGTTTATTTGTTTGCTGGAGAAATTGGCCAGCCTATAGTAGGAAAACTGCAACTGATGTCCAAGGACCCTCAGATGGGCTAGCGGAGCCTCTGCCTCAGTAAGACATGTGCAGCCTGCAGCTCCTACCTAAGTACTCAGCCTGCTCCTGGCTCATTCACAGTGATTCTCCTGTCTCGGCTTCCAGAAAACTGGGATTACAGACATGAATCACCATTCCCAGCTTCTAAATTTTAATTAATATCCTCAAAAGTTTGGGGAAAATGAAAATATAGCCTTGGTATAGAGCAGGAGATTGTGAATCTCTTCCTGCTTACTGAACTCTGTATAAATAAACACTCTGGTTGATAGTCAGGCTGCAAGAGTCTCCTGATCATCCTTCCCTCATGACACTTTACCTCCTCCCTAACCACTGGCAGTTAATGTGTGTGGCAATAGAAATAAAATCAAAGCCAAGTATAGTGATAATATACTTGTAACGTTAGTTCTTTTTGTTTGCATATTTTTATTTTATGTGTGTGAGTGTTTTGCCTATGTGCATATATGTGCACCACATGCATGTCTGGTGCCTAGGGAAGTCAGAAGAGGGTGTTGGATCCCTAAGACTGGAGGTATAGACAATTATGAGTTGCCATGTGGGTGCTAGACTTGAACTCGAGTCTTCTGTGAGAGCAACAAGTGGTTTTAACGAGTAATGAATCAACATGGCAGCCCAATAATCTCAGTTCGTGGAAATAGAGACAAGAGGATGAGGCATTTAGGCCATCCACAGCTTCATAAGGAGTTGGTACAGTCTCAGCTACACGAGACTATGTCAAAGTAAACAAACAAAAAGAACCCAAAACTTATTAGAATGTTTGGAGACATGAAAATTAGAACGTAAATTTAGGGAAGCTGGTACCCCAGTACGAGACCAGACAAACAGAGAATAGGGAGTGACTGTTGTAACAAAAATAGGAAACTACCAAACCTCGGAGCTGCCAAGATGGGTGAAAGTGCTTGCCATTAAACTCAGCAACCTTACTTCAATCCCTGGAACCCGTCGACTCCTGAAACTTCCTCTGACTACCATATGTGTATATGTACACTGTGGTACACACATGTGCATACATACACATACACACACTAAAATGGCCAAGACCAAAAACACAGATGTCAACTTATGCTGGAGAGTTGGGGGATAAAGGGAACACTCCTGCATTGCTGTGGGGAGTGCAAGCTGGTACAGGCCTTTTGGATGACAGTGTGGCGATTTCTCAGAAAATTAGGAAACAACCTTCCTCAAGACCCAGAAATACCACTTTTTGGTGTATATCCTAAGGTTGTTCAACCATGCCACAAGGATATGTGCTCAACTATGTTCATAGCAGCGTTGTTTGTCATAATCTAAAAAATTTTAAAGAAAAAAATGATTACACAGAGAAACCCTGTCTCAAAAAAGGCAAGAAAGAAAAAAAAAAGAGCTGGGCAATGGTGTTGCACACTTTTAATCCCAGCACTTTGGAGGTAGAGGCAGGTAGATCTCTGTTGAGTTCTCGGCCAGCCTAGTCTACAGAGTTCCAAGACAGCCAGGGTTATCACACAGAGAAACCCTATCTCGAAAAGCAAAACAGACAAATAAACAATAAAAAAAGAAAGGAAGGAAGGAAGGAAAGAAAGGAAGGAAGGAAGGAAGGAAGGAAGGGAAAAAAATGAGGTGACATGGTGGTGCACACCTTTAATCCCAGCACTCAAAGACAGAGGCAGGTGAATCTCTGTGAGTTCAAGACCAACTTGGTTTTCATAGTGAGCTTCAGGACAGCCAGGGCTACATATGAGACCCTGTCTCAAAAAACCAAAATGAAAAGAATTGCCAAAATGGAAATGCGAAGCATCCTGATTAGCAGGGCCCACATCCAGTACTCAGCCTGGAAAATGAAGAGTGACCCACCCAAGCCACATCTAATGGAATCTCAGAGTGCCAAGAAAGATGTTGGAAGCTTCCAGAGGGGAAAATAGGGTACATAGAAAGGACTGGGAGTCGAGAAAGCCGCAGCAGCAGCGGAGTGGGCCGTCACAGCGAGGATGGAAATAGCTTCCTTCCCATTTTTTTAACATCCCTCAGATAGGGTGAGTTTCAGAAACTTGACTTTGGAGCCTTTACGTGGGAAGTACTGTGTCACTTACTTCAGCAAATGAGAGCAAGCTGACCCAGAAGAGAGGATGGGTGCAGCACCCAGGGTACCCAACCCAGAGTCCATTGAGAGCCCTGTCAGGAAGATGGGGTGAGACGACTTGTGACAACAGTGGAGAGCAGAGTGTTATGGACATACAAGAGCCAACATTAGAGGAAGAGTATGGGAGACCCTTCAGCTAGGGAAGTAATGACATCAAGAGATAGCCTGTCCTTTTAGAGAAATAAATCACAAAAATTCAGGAGCCAGGAAGATATCTGATGTCAAAGCCAGCTTGATCTACAGAGTGAGTTACAGACTAACCCAGAGTACATAGTGAGACTCTCTCTCAAATACAAACAAATCAAAACCCAGTCTGACTTAGGCTTTGTAGGGACTTTATCAGCTCACGTGATGAAAAATTCTAGATGCCCTGACTTCTAATGAAGCTTGGATCTTGTGTTTAAACACTATAGCCCTAAACCCAGCTTTTCTCCAGTGTTTGTATCCTGCTGTCTACTGGGCCAACCTCACTGTGCAGCTGAAAAGTGAGGTTCAGAAAAGATGGAAGACTGTTTTCTCCCCTAGGATTTCCCAGAAAATACCCTGAGGTTCATGCCTACCTGTGGCCCAGACAACTAGTCAATTCCTTATAAGACCTCCTAAGACTATGTTTAGAATTTGGTGGGGTAGGGTCATGGGGCAGCAAAGATGGTGAGGTACCCATCTCAGCATGAGCACCTTGTTTCCAGGTGGGAAAAACGCACAGACCCCCGAGGCAGGTTTTACTATGTGGATCACAACACCCGGACAACCACCTGGCAGCGTCCAACCGCTGAGTACGTGCGCAACTACGAGCAGTGGCAGTCCCAGCGGAACCAGCTCCAGGGGGCCATGCAGCACTTCAGCCAAAGATTCCTCTACCAGGTGAGAGGGCCAGGGCCTGCCAAGCCTGGGTGACTCGCTGCGCGAGCCTTTGCAGATGCACTCACTCTGCGGTGCTGCGACACTACAGACCTCCCTCAAGTCTCTCACTTAGTAACACTGTGCCTGCCTGGGATCAGTGAACCAATGACCAATGTGTCTGAAGCTGGGTTTGCCATCGTTCTTTTCGTTTTCGTAGTGGTCTTGGCTCCCAAACCCGGAAGGCCTCAGACAGCTTTCTTTGGCCCCTTTTTTTTTGTCCAACTTCTCTATAAACTTTAAAAACATCTATGAGAAGAACCTTCTTTTCTTCTGGCCCAGATGTCAAGTTCTCTAATAGGTTGTCTAGGTAGGACTGGAAGAGTTCCGGGTTCTCTTCTGCTTGGTCTTTCTGCAGTTTTTCTTTTTGCCAGCCTCTCTCATTTTAGCAAGCCCTTGGGGTAGAAATTTGGAGGGGGGGGTTGTCTTAAGAAGTGAAACTTAAATACCAAATCCGTTTTCTTTCTGAGTATCGTGGAGCTTTGCTCTGCTTGGCTGGGGAAGCTGCCTTGTTCTGTGAATAGAAGACGTCTTGTACTGAAGGACCTTTTTTTTTTTTTTTTTTTTTTTTTTTTTTCCTGCGTAAAATGTCTCTGTTGGTTTTCTGCCGCGTTTGGTTTTCCCTCTCGTTTGCTATGGTGCCATGTCCTGGTTACAAGTAAGAAGGCTGCTTTCATACAGCTATGTTGGGGTTTGGCCTTGACCCAGGGTTTTACTAGGAAGACTAAGAACTGATACTGTGCTAGCGGCCCCCTCCCCACCCCACCCCCGCCTCCTCCTCTTGCTGGGCTTAAACTGAGATCTTGTTCTTTGCTGCACTTTAGAGAACATGAAATATAGTTTAAAATGGGCATCAAGGGCATCAGGATTGCTGGCTCCTGCCATCCCTTCCTGGACCGCCCTCCATACGCACCTTTTCCATGTTCCCTGGGTTACTGTTCTCTGTATTTCGATGTTTTCTTTTTTCACTGCCTAAGGTGCGTTTGTTGCTCTGAATCAGCGTGCCCATATTTTTGCTCGCTTCACCCTTGCCAACTCCTTTTGCTCTGTGCTGTGCTCCTGCTGTGGTCCACTGAGGACACCAGCACAGTCTTGCACTAGCACTCGTCCCACAGGCTACTGTTTAGATGACGCCTCTGTCTTCATTCCGCCTGTCCTCTGACAACTAAAGGAGGAAGTCAGGGTCTACACTACCAGCCCAGTTGCTGGTGTGGACTCGGATTGTACCTTCCAGAAACAGATAGCTCCAATCCTTCCCTCCGTGAGCCCTTGGACCACATCCTCGGGCACCTGGATTTTACTTTGACTCCATCAGGTCCATCCTGCAAGCATGATGCATGCCTTCTGCTCTGCACCCTCTGGCCTTCCCAGAGTCTTTTCTGCCCTCGGCTGTGATGGCTAGACATTTTTATTTCTGAATTTGTATCTTAAAATATTACAGGGACCTTGTGCTTAATCCCAAAGGGACTTGAACTCACGTGAGCTTTCTAGCTCAAGGCATGCATCCTGGACCTCCAGCCCTGGGACATTTCCCAGTCACACTTGTGCTTCTGGTTATGAAGGACACCACTCTGTCCTCAGAGTTATCTGCACTGCCAGGCATCAGCCCCTTGTGCTGTCTGTGTGCTTCTCCGCCTCTGCTCTGTGTAGCACACTTGGACCCCCCGGGAAGCTGAGGAATAGGGGCATTTAGTCCCCAGGGAAGGCATGGGGGTTTGCTTTGGGTTTTCTGGTCATGGCGCAAAGTTTTTATTTATTGCTTTTCCTTCACTTCATGTCCTTTCCTATGATTTGAGTTGTAAAATGTATCTTATGGAATAAATATCCAAAAGAATCAAGTGATCCACTTTAGCTATGAATAGTAAAATTACTGTTGGTGTCCATCGGCTCTGATTTCCCATGTGTTCTTCAGTCTCATTTCACTCTTTCCTGTCTGTCTTTCTTCAGACTCAGGGTGTGGTGAGTGGAGTCCGTGTGCTAGAAACTGGAGGGTGCCAAGGAAATTCAGTAGAGACCTGCTGTAATGAGGGAGAGCCAACATCTTAGGAAGTCTGGAGTAGAAACAATGAAACTAAACATAAATAGCAAGGGTTAAGAAGAGGGTTGTTAGCTTGGTTCGCTGGTCTACACCTGTAGTCCTAGCTGTTTGGGAAGTTGAGGCAAGAAGGAAGTGTGAGCCTGAGTTTGAAGTCAGCCTCAACTATAGAGATTTCTTTTCAAGAAAGCAAAGAAGAGGCTGATGACTATTTTTGTTTCAATTTCTGTGCCATCAGTAAGGAAACTGCTAGAGCCTGGAATGTTTTATGCATTATCTATACATTCTAAAGAACCTGAAGCATCAGATTTATATGCCAGTTGCCTCTTCTTTTTCTTTCTTTCTGTTTTATGTTTGTTTGTTTGTTTGTTCTGGTTTTTTTGTTTTTGTTTTTTTGAGGCAGAGTCTCTCTGTGTAGCCCCGGATGGCCTGGGCCTTGCTATATAGATAGACCAGGCTACTAGCATTGAACTCAGAGACCCATTTGCCTCTGCCTCCCAAAGTGCTGGGATTTAAGGTCTGAACCACCACACCTGGCTTGTTTCACTTGCAGGCTGGGCATGTTCTCAGTGGTAAGAGTATTCACTTAAGGTATGAATCCCTGCGTCCAGCCCCTGAAAACTGCAGAGTGATGCCTATTGCTCGCACTGACCACTGCCTTCGGCTTGGCTCTTACCTGATGGATGAGTTGTGTTTCACATCCACATTTGGCTTCACTACTAAGCGGTGAAGGCTTCCTACACCTTAACTCTGAAGCACAGTTGAAGGAGTGTTACTAGATTTCCAGCATTGAGGCATATCTGAATCGGGGTGGAGTTGGCAGTAACAGGCCCCAGACCCTAGGCCGACTTCCCCAGCTTTGCACAGCTTCCTTTTTGCCATGTGGCAGGAGGCCCTCTACTGAATGGAGCCCTGTCCCACCAAGGCGCCTATGGTTTCAAGACTTAAATGACTCTGTTGGAGCTCACTTGGAAGAGGAGCCTGTATTGCCACCTTGGGAAGAAAGTTCCTCTGTCCCTTCGGTTGAGGGTAGAAGCCGGGCTGTGGTGGGGTTGGTTGGCATGGAGCACCACCAGTGTTTGTTCAAGCCCAGACTGAGCTCCATTCATCCTCCTGCGGGAGTGTGTGTGTGTGTGTGTGTGTGTGTGTGTGTGATCCCCAGATGGGGCCAGCCATGTCTGCAGCCTGAAATCTGCATTTAGTACTTGATCCCTAATGTGATGATTAAATTCTAGTAAGTGAACTAGAAACGCTTGAGTTGGGGAGAGAAAGGTGCACAGAAATACTTGTTTCATTTAGGTATGAAAAGTTTTCGACAGTGCACCCCTGCTTCCCGGAGGCTCTGAGAACTCTCCATCCACTGCTGCTCTTCCCCTGGGACCTGGAAGCAGAAATAGCTGAGGGGCACTAGTGTAAATAGTGACCCTGCCGTCGTGGAGCCCCTTCCCCCTTCTCTTTCACCAGCCCCAGCCCCACCTCCCCAGACAGGCAAAGGCAGAACACTGAGCAACTTCAGGTTGAGGCAGGGAAAGAATAAAGGTGCTTTGTGAGGGAAGGAAAACATTCCTGGGGGAGGTGAGGGGCTTGGGGCATGAAAGTGCCCTCAGTCTGGGTGGATGCTGAGCTCCCAGGAGGGAGGTGGCGGGAGGAGGGCCGGGCCCCAGCCAGGAAGCCCTGGGCGTGGGCAGGGCTTGTGGGAATGATTTCATTGGAAAGGCCTTCGGTATTTTTTCCCCTCCTGTGTGTGGTTCTTGGAGAAAGTTGGAGGTGGTAAGGATTTCAGTTGCTTTGGCTGCGTGGAGCAGGAGCTGAGCAGAGGCCGGCAGTGAGCTGGCGGGGAGCTTGCTCTGAGCCTGCCTGCCATGCTCAGGCCTGGCTTCTGGGGCCCTTGCCCACCATCCTCGGATCACCTCTAACCCCACTTGCTCTCCCTGGCCTAGCCCTCAGTGCTGCATAGAATTCTTTTTCTGGTTTTTCCTAAACAAAGACTCTAAAGGAGCAGATGCTGTCTAAAGTGTCGCTGCGTTCTCTCCTAAGGGCTAACATGTGGAAGTGAGTCTTTGGCTTTCCAACTCTATTGATCCATTTATTTTTAACCAGAGTCTTCGTTTTCTTAACTTCTGTGTTCTGCTGTTTTTTGTATTTAGTCTTCGAGTGCTTCGTCTGACCATGATCCCTTGGGCCCCCTCCCGCCTGGTTGGGGTAAGTATTGATTTCTTGGCCTTCTCTTTGGCAATCATAGCATTCTGTCCCCATCTCCTGCATGTGCTATCCCTCGGATTTTCGTAGCACTTAAATGCGTGCTGAGGATACCCAGTTGGAGCGATGGCAGTGATAGAGCCTGTAGGGTTCTCCTGTGCCACTACAGTGGTCACCTGCCACAGCTAAAGGAGTCTGACTCCAAGAAAGATTTCCCCAAGCATCCACGGGACTGTTGTGCTTGTGTCCTGAGTTTCAGGGTGGCCACTCAGGAATCCACTGAATCCCACAGTTATTTTGACCTGTCTGATGTCCACGCAGGCTCTCCTCTGATTGTGACTCTGGCATAAGTGGCCATCTTAACAAGTCTTCTTCTTTGCAGCTCAGACACCGGAGGACAGACAACAGCCTAGTTTTGACTAGTGTCAACTGCTTATGTCTGTGGTTCTGTTGTGAACGAGACCACAGGCAAGCAGAGTTGCACACTGGGTATTGGCCTTGAGAGTACAGCACTGCTAGTTAGTGGCTGGGGCTCCCTTGTCAATGGTAGCCACTTCTCACCTATCCCAGGGCTTTGGTATGATTTGCCAAGGGTTAAGGCCCAGGCATCCATTAAAGGCGAACTATCATGACTTGGGAGAGATTGCAGGCTTCATTGCTATTCTAGGAAGGAGTACTGTGCAAAAAAGTGTTATTAGAAATGGCAAGACTCAGGAAATTCTGCAACTCTCAGAGCTGGGCAGGATTTTATTCAACCTTCTAAGAGTCTCTGATGCCAAAGGGAACAGTCTTCACAGGAATAAGCAGGTATTGGGTTTAATTTTTTGGCTAGGGTATCAGAAGACGGTAGGTGCTGATTTAGGTGCTCGCAGTACTATGTGGGTGGGGAAGTGCCACTGGGATGCTGACAGTGTCAAGGGCATCTCCAGGCTGTGCTCCTTTGATGCAGGCACAGCTGTTCCCTGGTAGTAGTTTAAGAAGTTCTATCAACTCCCCCAGAGTATCATTGAGCTCCTGTTACATTCCAGAGTGCCAAGAGGCTCCTGTATCCTGGCCGGAAATATTGATTAGTAAAAGCCCATGGATTTTTTTTTTTTTTTCAGCTAGGAAATCCCCATACATACAAACAACTTGCCTGGCTCTCCGGTCCCTGATGTAAGGTTACTGGCACCCTGAGGATTAGTGGGTCAAATGTGAGAGTAAAACTTGGGGATCCTGACATGGGCATCAGAGAAAGTGCATCAGGCTAAACAGGAGTTGGCAGCACCGTATGGTAGCTGGTGACTGGAGTCTGGACTGGAGTTTGGTTGTGGCTGCACGGGCAGTCCATGCAACTCAGTCAGATGCACTTTCTTCTTTCTGTAGCCATTTTGCTAAATGACAGTCACCGGGGAGAGAACTGTGGAGCCTGGGAGAGTTCACAGGTTCAGAGTGTGCAGACTTGTGAGGTAGGAAAAGAGAGTCAGGCATCAGAAAAGCAGAAGTGCTCCGTAAGTGAGAAAAGAACACTTTAGGCTGGGCATGGTGGCCCTTGTCTGTAGTCGTAAAGCTGTGGAAGCTGAGGCAGGAGGAGTGCTAGATCCGAAGAATTGGAAGAAAACACTGTGCCAATACAATGTTTGGGGCTCTGGGCTGAGGTCACCAGGACGGCGGCAGGGCTGCCTCTTCCAAATGGTAAGAAGAATGGAAAAGTAAGGCCAAAAAAGAATACCTTTAATGGTGAGCCTGCTGGTCTTCCATTTGCCTTGAGGTTTTAAGTGCCAATGTAGTCCTCCAAGGAGCCCCCATGGCTGCCCCTAAGTATTGTTTGGGGGGGGGGCGCATCTCCAGTGTAGAGCTACATCTGCTCCTGAGCAGCCGTGGCATGTGACAAATGTTTCCAAGTCCATTTGTCCCAAAAACATGAGCCGCTGTGCTCACAAAGGCTCCCCGATCCCCACACTACAAAACTCTTCCCGGAAGGCTGTCCAGGGGGTACATAGGCCTCCAAGCAGTAGCAACACAAGGCCAGTGGCCAAGGGCTCTGACCCACTGTACAGATCACCCTGCTTTCTTATTGGCCATGGCTTTGACCCTTGACTGAGCAGCCATGGAGGATGCAGTTTACAACAGTGGATCCCACCTGGGGCAGCCAATCCCTCAGAAACCTTAGGGTGGGGACTGGGGTAGGGGTGGGAGCTGCTCTCCAAGGCCAGACATACCCACTATCTGGAGATGGAAAGCCTGTAAAGGTACCACTGCCTCCTGCTCCCTCCTTCCCTTTCCTTTCTTAGCTTTGTGAGGGTGTGGTTGACAAAGTCTCTTTATAGTTTCAGTTGTGTAGAGTCGGAGACGAGACCTCGGCATACAAGAACTTTCTCAGCATGGTTCTAGAGGGGAGCAGGGGCTGCTGGTCTCCCCATTTCTTCCCCCTTTTCAGTTGTTAGGGTCCTCTAGCTCCTGGAACTAATTATCATTGTTTCATTACTGTACTGTGTCACGGTATGGAGTGAGTGCGTTAGTCTGCTGATTGCCAGGACAGACACAGCTCCCTGCTCAGGAACTTCCTGGAAAAGGTGGCCTGTTGAAGCTTGGAGCTTGCCTCTGGTTTTCTTCTACCCACATTCCATTCCAGCCTGAGGGAGAGGAGGTGGCAGGATAGCTGTACTGCACAGCTGGTTCACAGGGTTGCCCATCTATACTACCACACTGCCCTTCCATCTGACAGGGGTTGGGAGTGCGTGTCCCCTTCCCCTGCCCTGCAACAGGAAAAGGCTCTTTGGTGACAAGTGTGACTGGGCCAGACTCTCTCCTCTTAACCTATAGTAGGTTGGTGATGGAAACAGAAATTCTAACTCGTCACACGGGCAGCAGGAGCCGAGGGACAGACTGTGTTAATCTGATTGCACTCTCTCCTTTCTTCTCCTGTGGCAGAGAAGAGGCAGGACAATGGACGGGTGTATTACGTGAACCACAACACCCGCACTACCCAGTGGGAGGACCCGCGGACCCAGGGGTGAGGACTCAGGTGGAGGGGCTGTGAGGGATGGGGCGAGGATCAAACAGCCTTTGCATTTGCCTCATGGTACTAACATTTGGGGACTGTGAACCTTCCATGAGGACGCATAGCAGTCTACTGAGAGCATCACACTCTTCTAGTGGGCACAGGGACATGGGAGGAGGTCAGGCAGGCGCTGAGAATTGGACTGTCAAAAAGTTGAGGGTACTCCTGCCTCTCAGAAGATGGACAGGAAAACCAAAAAAAAAAAAAAAGGGGGGGGGGGGGAGAAAGAAAGTAAAATTTAAGCTGGGCAGTGATGGCTCACACCTTTAATCCCAGCCCTCAGGAGGTAGAGGCAGGCGAATCTCTGTGAGTTCAAGGCCAGCCTGATCTACAAGAACTAGTTCCAGGACAGGCTCCAAAGCAACACAGAAAAACCCTGTCTCAATAAACCAAAGGGGAGAGACAGAGTGAGAGAGAGACAGAAACAAAGAGAGAAAGAGAGAAAGAAAGAGAAAGAAAGAAAGAAAGAAAGAAAGAAAGAAAGAAAAAAGAAGCAGAGCAGGGACACTTGATATCTCAAGACTGCTAATGATCATGCAGGCTAATGTCACCCACCCTGGACTGGCATCTTAGCCCCGTAATAAATGGCCCCCTTTTGCACATGACCTGTTTTCTCACAACTTGAGTCTTGCCAGGTGTATATCCTTGGGGTGCCTAGAGAAGGCAAAGACAAAGTAGGACTTTGGGGACCCCAGCCTCTAAGCACATGACAGCCTATAACTCCTCTTCTGTATTTTTAGGATGATTCAGGAGCCAGCCCTGCCCCCAGGGTGGGAGATGAAATACACTAGCGAGGGTGTGCGGTACTTTGTGGACCACAATACCCGCACCACCACCTTTAAGGATCCTCGCCCAGGGTTCGAGTCAGGGTAAGAACCTTCACAGCCACAGCCTTGTCCCCCAACACAACCCCAGTCTGTCTTATTCAGCTGGCTGGGGAGGAGGGGTCTCTATGTGTTGTGCCAATCATTGCCTCTAGTGCCAATGTGGATGTCACCACTCAGGGATGGGCCCGGGGCCATCCTCCTTACCCAGAGCAGGGTGTGGAGGTGTGTGCCCTCTAAAAGTGAGCGGTGTGGCATTGTCTCCACGCGTCTTTCCCTCTCAGTGGCAGTCGCTCCCTCTGTGTCTCACTTTACTCCTCTTTAAATTCGCGGAGCAGAGCATCCCCGTTCCCTAGGGCTCTCAGAAATGGACTGCTCGTTTTCTGAGAGATCAAACAGGTTCCAGCGTATCCTTTGCTCTTGCCAGGACAAAGCAAGGCTCACCTGGTGCCTATGACCGAAGTTTTCGGTGGAAGTATCACCAGTTCCGGTTCCTCTGTCACGTGAGTCCTGGTTTTAGGGCTCCCATGGGAGTGGGGCTGTTAAGTGCTGTCAGTTGGGTCTCTCAGACCCACCTAGCACTGGGGGTATGTCTTAGATGGGTGCAAGATGCTTGCCCCACTCTGAGCTGCTTGTCTCTAAGGAGTAGTCTTCTAATCCTGGGCTATGGGGCTGTGCTGTCACAGATGGGAGAGCCCATTGAGCCCCAATTGACAGTGTTCCTTTCCTTTTTAGTCAAATGCCCTACCCAGCCATGTGAAGATCAGCGTTTCCAGGCAGACACTCTTTGAGGACTCTTTCCAGCAGGTTAGAGAATATTATTGATGCTGGGATCCTGGGCCAAGCAGGTTTCCTCCCATCACCTAACCCCACCTCAGGGTGTAAGCATTGGTGACTATATCTGCTAGACAATAAGCCTCAGCATCCCCTGCCCCCACATCCCTGCCTGCTGTGCTGGGGTCATGGGCAGGATGGCCGGATGCCCTGTCTCCCCAGATTATGAACATGAAACCTTATGACCTGCGCCGCCGGCTCTACATCATCATGCGTGGTGAGGAGGGCCTGGACTACGGCGGCATTGCCAGGTGAGCTAGGGTGCCCAGAGGGCTCTACTCTACTCCATGTCCCCTCGCTATAGGGCCCATGGCTAGAAACCTCCTCCATGCTGTTCTTCATCCCCTGAGTTCTCCTGCATCAATAGGATGGGCCCTGGTGTGATACTGAGAATCATCTCTTGGGTTGGTGATGTGGCTCAATTAAGTTAGGATGCTTGTCTAGTGAGCAGGCCCTGGGTTCGATCTCCAGCAACACATAAATCAGGCCTGGCAGGTAGTTCACATCTATAGTTGTACCACTTGAGCAATAAAAGCAAAAGGATTAGACATTCAAAGCTGTCCTTGGCTACATAGTAAATTTTAGGCCAACATGGGTCTCTGAGATCCTGTCTCCGAAAGGAAAAGGTGGAAAATCCCATGACAAATGTCTGGCTAGTCCCAGTGAGCCATGAAGCAGGGGCAGGCCTTAGCCCTTTGGTTACTAGATTATAGGGGTGCTGAAGGGTTCTCGAGGAGGGACGTGATGCTCTGTGCCAGCCTGTGTGTCATTTTTCTCTACTCACAAAGCAACCTGTCAAGTTGTATCAGTGGGCAGTAGGGTCTGTGGGTACCCCTTAAAATCAGCTCTCGGCTTTCCTTTTTCCTGAGGCAGCCAGAGCAGGTAAAGTCAGGTTTCTCAGCGTGTATCTGATGTCTCTAAGCAATCCATCCCCTGCTGCATCGTGTGCACCAGTCAACAAAGTCCCTTAAAGAACCCAAAGCACTGTGTTACCTTCACCCCACAAAACTTAGCAGGCTGTTTGGCAAAGCATCGCCTTGGACGACAGGCAGAGGGCCCTGGCAGTGAGAAGGAGCATCTTGGCTGTGGTGACCTCTTATCTGCTGACCTTGTGGTGGGGGGATATCTTCCTGCTTGGCATTGGGCTCACCCACCTCTGGTCCTGTTTGCTGGTGGTGTACTCTTCTTGTTGACCCCATCCTGCGAATGGATTGTTCTTTTTTCGTGGTGACCTCCCCAGGCTGTGCTTGGTGGGCTTCTGGTGTGGCTCCCTCCCTGTGTGTCTCTCTCTGTGTCCTGCCAGTGGTTTTACCCTATGGTAGGTTACGTCATGCTGTTCTACCACAGGGTAGAACCACGGACAGGATACCGGGGCACCCTCTACATCGAAGGACTTCGTCTACACAGCCACAAACAGACCAGCAGCCAGAGGCTGGCCCTCTTGGCCCGTGTTCTCTGTTGGTTTAGCTCAAGCCCTAAAAGACCCTGATTTCTGGCTTATACTTGGGGTGTAGATAGATGCTGAGGCATCTGTTGGGTGGTGTCAGTCGAGATGAATGTGTCCGAGTTTGGGATAGGGTATGCCGATGGGTTCTGGGGTGAAGGGAAGGCAACATGCAAGTGAGGTAGGTACCTGTAGGATAGCTAGAATCAATGAGGTTCCTGGAGGCTGAGTGGATCCCAAAGCCTTCAGGGATGGGTTTTGGAACATGCAACTGTCTGTGTATTCTTCACATTGCATTTCATACCAGGTTGGGTGCATACTGTCATAGAGCAGAAATGTCATTGTAATAAATGTGTATATTTACGATTTCATTGCATTTATTTGTTTATTTGGGGCATAGATGTATGTGTGTGGTTCTTATGGCCCATACAGCATGTGTGAAGGTCAGAGGACAACTTAAGGGGATTCAGTTCTCATCTTTTACCAAGTAGGTCCCAGGGATTGAACTCAGGTTGTCAGATTTGGATGCAAGAGCCTTTATCAGCTTACCCATCTTGCCAGCCCAGTCTGTAATGTTGTGGTGTAGTGCCTTTGTAAAGTACATAGCCCCACAGGGTGCACGGTGGTCCTGCGTTTGAGGACCCCCTTTGCCACCAGAAGCTCTAGATACTGTAATGTAAATGTCCTATGGGAGCCAACACGCACCCAGTTTTCCTGAGTGCCACCTTCAGGTGCTATTGTTTTGCTTCACCCAAGAACTGGGATGAGCTGGTACTCTGACCTTCCAGGGCACACACGTTCAGATGGTCTGACACAGCAGAGGGCTCCATTGTTCTGTCCTCTCTCCTCTCACAGAGAGTGGTTTTTCCTCCTGTCCCATGAGGTGCTCAACCCTATGTACTGTCTATTTGAATACGCTGGGAAGAACAATTACTGCCTGCAGATCAACCCAGCCTCTTCCATCAACCCTGACCACCTCACCTACTTCCGCTTTATCGGCAGATTCATCGCCATGGTAAGGGGCCTGGGATCTCTGAGCAGGGCAGCCTCTAAGGAGGCTGGCTCTAGTCACCAGGCGGCAGCAGTGGCATGCGCTGCAGACCTTAGGGATCAGGATCCTGCCCTCTGTCTAGGATTTGCCATGACTCTCCCCTCTTCCTCACACGACTTCTAACCGAAAATTAACAAACAAAAAGCAAGGTAGTTGTGGAGAAGGGAGATACTTTGCAGTGGCCATCTGGGGCAGTTACAGGGTTTCTCATGTGACTTACTACACAGAAGCCCAGGAACTTCACCTAGGTCCATTGGGACTTACAGGGTGTAACTAGGCCAAGCAAAACCCTAACTGTCTGCCTGCTGCCTCTCACTTGGGGGTACTGCATCTTTCATGAGCCGCAATAGCAAGGGGACCTTTGGAAATGTCTGCCCGAGACACAGCCCTCTGGAAGAGAGTTAGGAATCGGCGTGGGCTTAGGTCAGAGCCATAGTGAACTGGCTGCTGCAAGGCCAGGGGCCTTCCCAGCAACTGTAGTCACCTAAGAAGTACAGGCTCAACATAGCAGTGAAGAGGGCCTTACCGCATGATGACCCACACTGATGAGCAGGGGCCTGCGAGGCTGTGCTCCGACTGTGCCCCAATGATAGCTTTTCTTTGTTGATGTCCTGAGTCTTACCCCACACATTCCCTTCTCTAGAATACCAGAGGCCTAAGGCTCTGTCACTAAATATGGCCATTCCCATCATCTGGAAGTTCTTGTTAAGTGCTGGCAATGGCTCTAGAAGTGGGCACGTTCTTCCTAGGTCTAGAGACCTGCCTGGCCCAGCAGCAGACAACGGCAGAGCGGCCAGACTCTCAGACTGTTACTCACCACTGGCTGCCAGTTCTCGCCAGCCTCAGTGTCTGCATTATTCTTGGCCTCTTGTGCCACCCGCTCAGAGTGCCAGTGAGTCAGGACTAGAGCTGTATTGAACAAGTTTTCCATGGACGTGGGGAACAGGCCTTTGCCCGAAGAGGGAGTGGCCTGGCCAGTGTGCTGGGCAGACAGTGGGCCTGCTTTGCCCATGCCTGTGGCTTTCAGGGTGGGATGAGTCTGTCCATAGGCCCAAGTCAGAGAAAAGTGCTTGTTTCCCACACCTCCCCTTCAGCTAGGGCAGCTGGCTCCCAGGGAGTCCTTTCAAGGGGAGGGCAGCTGACATCCAGAGCACTCCTGAGTCTGCCTCGGGTGCTGTCCAGAAAGTAAAACCCTCTGCTGTGCCTCTCCCTTGCCCAGGCTCTGTACCATGGAAAGTTCATCGACACAGGCTTTACCCTTCCTTTCTACAAGCGGATGCTCAACAAGAGGCCGACGCTGAAGGACCTAGAGTCCATTGACCCCGAGTTTTATAACTCCATTGTCTGGATCAAGTGAGTCCTGGCTTGCCCTGCTCTGATGGAGCTGAGCTCTGATTGGCCACTTGGCACCCTGACCCTGATTTCCTCTACTAGGAAATCCCTGGGTGCTTACCTGGCTTCCCTAGGTCTATAGCGATAGAGCTTCTAGGTCCCCTGTTCTCAATTCTCTCTCTGGAGCAGAGACTGTATGTACCAAGCCACTGGTCAGGGTTCCTGGCCACCTAGTGAGTTTCTAGTGCCTCTCGGGTGCCTTAGTAAGAGGTTGAGCAAGTCAAGGGCAGGCCTTGATAATGTGGACATCTTCCCACTTGGCCTCCTGTGTCCCAGAGAGAACAACCTAGAAGAGTGTGGCCTGGAGCTGTTCTTCATCCAGGACATGGAGATCCTGGGCAAGGTGACAACCCATGAGCTGAAGGAAGGCGGCGAGAGCATCCGAGTTACAGAGGAGAACAAGGAAGAGTACATCATGTGAGTCTCAGATCCGGGGACGGCACATTACAGAGAAAGGGCGTTTGCCTTGTTTTTGTAGCATTTTTGACCAGTCCCCGCTATGGGGCCCATAGTGCCCACAGACTGCACTAATACCCTGGCTGTGTCTGCCTTGGTTGGTGACATAGTGACTTGAGCTATGGACCTGGAGCCTCTGGTTACCAGCTCCGGGTTGATCTGTTTGTGTTCAAGAGGCTTTCCAACTGCAGGGAACTTTTCAAAGAAATATAAAGCTTAGATGTTATCATCTCTCCTGACCCAGAGGATTTCTGTGTCCAGTGAATTTCAGTCTCTGGCTCTCCACTGCGCATGTACAGACTTCCCGTTCGGGTCCTTTAGGCTGTTTGCTCTGTTCCATTAAACCATGGAGTTGTTACTTGTGAGGTTAAGTCTGAGGCTCAGCAGTTAAAGAGTGCACCAGGCAGGGCGGCCTGGGCTCCTTCAATGCCTTGTCCTTGGTTTTAGGCTGCTGACTGACTGGCGATTCACCCGAGGAGTGGAAGAACAGACCAAAGCCTTCCTGGATGGCTTCAATGAGGTGGCCCCTCTAGAGTGGTTGCGATATTTTGATGAGAAAGAGCTGGAGGTGGGTGCCAAAAGTTGTGGGCCCTTGAGTTCAGGTCTTTTAGGGTATCCCAGATCTGTGATGTACACCCACAGAAACTCACCCACCAAGCCCCACACTTCAAGCTAGAGGCAGTAGTGTGGGTAGTGTCGCCTGGATCTTCAGCCCTAACTTCTCTGTGCATAGAGAGCAAGGACATTAAAATTTCTGAAAAAAGTAGCAGGTTAACAGAGTTCGGGAGTCATGTTATGGTGGGAGGAGGCAGCACCGTGTGGGCGTGAAGCAGTGCCATGCAGAGGGCTTGCTGCAGGCTTGCTGACATGTCCCTCCCTACAGCTGATGCTGTGCGGCATGCAGGAGATAGACATGAGCGACTGGCAGAAGAACGCCATCTACCGGCACTACACCAAGAGCAGCAAGCAGATCCAGTGGTTCTGGCAGGTGCGTCCTGGGCTCTGGGTCCCCCTGTTGGGCTGGGGGTTCTTGTCAGGGATGGTTACCAGTTACCCAAAGGACATGACCCCAGACTCAAGGACCTTTCATCTTTGACACATTCCTCCCCTCCCAACTTGGAGAAGTAGAGGATAAACCTATCTCTGGGCAGGATAGAGGTTGTTGTAGCTACAATGTCGCTAGTTTGCATGACATAGGTTGTCAGCAGTCAGCAGTGGCTGGGAGCCAAGGGGACCTGCGGCCAGGAAGTTCAGCTGCAATGGTTATGTAGTCTCCTCCAGTCAGATGGGGTAAGAAAGGAAGGCACACGTGTCTAGAAAAATACAGTGAGCCCATTATCTTGAATTGAATGTCTTAGTCCCTTTATATATGTGGATTTTACAGCTGTTTAACAAGGAGAGTGTGCAGTGAAAAAGACATATACAAGTATCCTTATATGATGTGTGTGTGTACTTGCATGTAAAGTTTTTGTGGAGGTGTAGTTCACATGGCATGCAATTCATCATCTTAGATATTTTGAGGTGTTCAAATCAGTGGTTTTAGCTCCTTCATTGTGTTGTACAACCAACAGCATTATTCAACTTTACTACAGTTCATTTCCCCAAAAAGAAACCCTGTTTCCACCAAACAGCTACTCCCAACCTTAGTGTGTCTTTAAAAGCAGACTTGGGGAGAGGGTAGGGAAATACCCAGCCCAGGATGTCCCTGAGACTCATGGACCTTTGTGGGACATTCTACAAACACCCTTAGAGAAAGCATCTTTGACAGTCCCAGATTGCTGTCTGTCTCCCCTTCCTGGTGTGGCCCCGCCTGGCCTGGAGATGTCCCTGCTGAGGCCTGAAGTGCTGGGCTAACGGCACCCCTGACGCCTTCTGGAATTGCAGGTGGTGAAGGAGATGGACAACGAAAAGAGGATCCGGCTATTGCAGTTTGTCACTGGAACCTGCCGTCTGCCTGTTGGGGGATTTGCTGAACTCATTGGTGCGTTTTTCCTTTGTCCTCCTGGGGCCTTGGCTGGGGGTGAGGACAGCATGGGCCATACACATCTTCCTGGAATTTGGGGAGGGAAAGGGTCTTGTTTTGGGAAAGGCCATCTGTGTTGACACAAAGTAACACCTTGCCTTGGATGACAGGGAGCAATGGACCCCAGAAGTTCTGCATTGACAGAGTTGGCAAGGAAACCTGGCTACCCCGAAGCCATACATGGTGAGTTTGCTGGAAGACGGCAGGCCGGGAGCCTCACTGGTGGGGGCAGGACTCTGAAGCCCTGGTCTCCCCATGCCACCCTTCTGTCTTTTACAGCTTCAACCGCCTGGACCTCCCGCCCTACAAGAGCTATGAGCAGCTGAAAGAGAAGCTGCTGTATGCCATCGAGGAGACCGAGGGTTTTGGGCAGGAGTAGCCAAGGCTGTCCCTCCCATACCCTCCAGCACAAGTAGTCCTGAGTCCTTCCTGCCTGAGACGCCATTGGCTGCACAGCCCTTGGAAGGCCCCTTTGGATAGTGGCCCTGTATGGATCCATGCTTGGATCATGTTGGTGACTGAAGAGTCTGACCCCAAGAGGCCCTGTGGCTCCTTTCTCCTACTTGATGATGGCAGTCTGGAATAAAGCCCCCTGTCACCTTTGACTTCATCACCTGTTGCAAAGTCAGAGGGCTGCCCTTCTGCAATTTTGTCCCCTCCACTAGGACCAATTCTGGGTGTGTGTGAGTACGTAAGGGAATGTGCCCTGCCTCAAAGGGCTGCCCCAGAAGCTGGGCCTCACATGGTAGGTGAAGAGATAGGCTGTGTTGCTTGGCTGACTGGACCCAGAAAGCCAAGGGTCTTTGGCCGCAGAAGAGGCTCCGCTTCCGTTGACCTTTGCTGGAGTCTGTGTGGAGCAGGCCTGAGAGGAGCAGCTCTGCATCAAAGTTGTCTTTGCTGTACTGCCCGGTGGGCTGCAGCCCAGGGGACCGAGCAGGAAGCACTCAGTACTACCAGTCCGTCTCTTCCTAGCAAGCAAAGGGTTGAAGAAGTCACCACTTGTGTGTCAGTGGGAAGAGACAGACTCCCTGGACTGTCTTGTGACATAAACTTGAAGTATATTCATGTATAGGGTTGCCTTCTGTTTTGTTTGAGTATGCCGCTATCACCTTCTGTCAAAGAGCTGGTGCCCCAGGTGTTCTGGGTCGTTGAGGGGCTCAACCCTCTTGATCCAGTAGCTTCCCCAACAGCTGCTCCCCTCAGGAACCTGCTTAGCAGTTCCCCAGCTCAAGAGGCCTGGCCCTGCAGCCCAGTGCATCCCTGCCACCCTCAAATCCTCCATTGACAAGATCCCTTTGCTAGACCAGGCAAGGCCGGTTAGGACCAGGTTGGCAGTACTGTCTCTCAGTGGCTTCTGGAGCTCGCAGTGGCTTAGGATGGGGCACATCTCGGTCAGCCGAGTGTTTGTGCTGTTCAGGCATGAGGAAAAGACACCGGTTGGATTTATGGCGCTTTTGACAGCCTCCCATGTAGGTCCACAGGCCTCTCTGGGGTTTCAGAGCAGTTATAGTGGCGCACTCCCTCATGCAGCCTCCCTGCACATACTAGCTCTGGGGTACCCCAGGCATGCTCTTAAACCAGTCACAGGAGCCTTCCGAAGACAGGCCCTTTCTGCCTTCATCCTTCCTCCAGTACAGCCTGTGACCCCCCCCCCCCCCACACACACACACACACTGCACATGCTGATTTGAGTGGCTCCGCTTACTGCTGCTCACCTTTCTCTCCCATGCAGTCTCTTGCCATACTCCCCATGCGCATCACAGAAGCTGTTCAGTACTGGGTGGGGAACCAGCTGCCAGCAAGGTCAGTCAGGAAGCATCAGGTTCACAGGTGTTCATGCGTGTCTGTGTGTGTGTGTGTGCGTACGTGTGTGTGCGTACGTGTGTGTGTGTGTGTGTGTATGTGTGTGTATAACTGAAGTGTGTACTGAAAGGTCTGTGCTAGCTAGCACCAAGTTGGTTGAAAGATTGTTTTGTAATGCCTGCCCCTGCCTTGGTATTGCCAGTTTCTTGTGCAATAAACAATCAGCAGCCGTGGGTGGTGTCAGTGTGGCTGTTTACACACACTCTTCTGGGAAGAGGCTGCCAGCCCCACAGGTCTTCCAGAATCTCCAGGCCAAAGCAGAGTGATAATGCCCTAGCCTTGCTGCCTTGGAGGAGTTCGGGTACCAGTAACCAAGTAGCTTTATGTCTGGGCTGGATGGCTGGGTACCAGTAACCAAGATAGCCTTACTTCTGGGATGGATGGTTGGGTACCAGTAACCAAGGTAGCCTTACTTCTGGGATGGATGGTTGGGTACCAGTAACCAAGGTAACCTTACTTCTGGAATGGGTGATTAGGTACCAGTAACCAAGGTAGCCTTACTTCTGGGATGGATGGTTGGGTACCAGTAACCAAGGTAGCCTTACTTCTGGAACAGGTGGCAAGTTCTTCTCCGGAGGTCACTTGCCTCAGCCCTGGTCACTGTGTTACTCTCTTAGCAACAAAATCGTTCCTTTTGGAGCAGAAGTGGCTCAGGTTGCATGAGTCCCATGACAAGGGATTCCTTGATGCTGAAGTCAGGGTCACACCTTGGTTTAACACACAATTATATTGACAGGTAAAACTTCCAAGATGGAGCTGGGTATAGTGGTGCATTTCCTACAATCCTAGTAATTGGAAGGCTGAGGCAGAAGGATTGCTCCACGTTTGACGCTAGACTACATAGACTGCCCCTGCCTCCAAAAGAGCCGAAGTGGGTAGAGAGATGATTTGATGGTCTTTATTGCCCCACAGTGGACCCAGATTCAGTTCTCAGCATCCACACGGTGGCTCACATTGCCTGTAACTCAAGTGCCAAGGGATCTGTCACCCTCTTCTGACCCCCACAGGCACCAGGCACAAATGTCACACATTAATACATGCAGGCAAAACATGAATACTCCCATATCACAAGACTGTTCCTAAAAGCCAAACAAGTGTGGGCTAGACCACCACCTGATGAGTGGACATTGAAATGACTACATGTTCTTTGGTTTGGTTTGGTTTTCTGAGACATGATCTCTTTGTGTAGCACTGGCTGTCCTAGAACTTGCTCTGTAGACCAGGCTGGCCTCAGACTCAGAGATCTGCTTGCCTGTTCCTCCCAAATGCCAGAATTAAAGGTGTGCGCCACCACAGCCCAGCTAGTGACTGTCACATTCTAATCACACTGATAACAGGAGGTGGAGGCTGGCTCCTTAAAGTGTAATGGCTAGTTCACTTCCTCATTTTACTTCGGGGTGCGAGAGCTTGAAAACTTTGTGCTTGCTAAGCATGCAAAACCCAGGTCTATGCCCTTCCAAAGGCTTTTTTCCACTTGATGGGGAAACACTATACTTTGATTAAAAATTATTGGAGAACATTCACATGGTATACGTAAGTTTCATAGTAAGGCATTTTTGTTGTTGTTGTTTTGTTTTGTTTTCTTGAGACAGGAACTCCCTATGTAGTAGCCCTTGCTGGCTTGGGAACTCTGTGTAGCCCAGGCTGGTCCCAAACTCAACAGCAGTTTGCCTGTTTCTGCCTCTGCAGTGCTGGGCACTTTAGTAAACTTTAATAAGTTTTAGTATGACCTGCCACAGTGGGGACTCACCTACATGTCTCCAGGCATAACTGCCACTTAGCGGGCAGTGGTCCTTCCAGACAAGTTTGTGTCCATATGCAAATTATAGATGTCTTAGTTAGGGTTTCTGTTGCTGTGAAGAGACACCATGACCACAGCAACTCTTACAAAAGAAAAACATTAAATAGGGGTAACCTACATTTTCAGAGGTTTAGTCCATCGTCATGGTGTGACATGCAGGCAGACTTGGTGCTGGAGAAGTAGCCGAGTGACCTACATCTTGACTTGTGGGCAACAGGAAGTGGTCTGTCTCACTGGGCGTGGCTTGAGCATATGAAACCTTTCAGACCAGCCCCGTAAGTATGTATGATTTTTAAATATACTGGAAATGGGATTGCATAGCTGTTGTTTCATTAATGAGGTGTTGGGGCACTTAGCATGTTGGTCACTGTATTTCATTTCTTCTCTGCCATGTGACTTTCATACCATTGTTCTATAATGTACCCATTGCCTTCCTGAAAGTGAGCTGTGGATGTCTCCAGCAACTTGGCAGCGTCTACACGGCTTCATCAAATGACCTTGGGCAGGCCCAGCAGGAGACAGTTCTAAAAGCCCGATTGTTGTGTCTTGTGGGTTTTGTTACATTTGAGTCCATTACTAAGGAACACAAACTGTCTTAAAATAGTGATCTTCCTGGATGATGGTGGCACAGACCTTTAATCCCAGCACTCCGGAGGCAGAGGTAGGCAGACCTCTGTGAGTTCAAGGCCAGCCTAGTCTACAAGAGCTAGTTTCAGGACCAAGAAAGCCTGTCTCAAAAAATAAATATATAAATAATAAAAAGAAGAGGAATCTTCTTGCCTCTCACCTAACCGCTAAGATTTCAGACACTCACCACCACTCCCAACTAGACTTTTTTTTAATTTATTTTTTACATACCAATCCCAGTTTCCCCTCTCTCCTCTCCTCCCGCACCCCCCTTTCCACCATCCCACCCTCACCTACTCCTCAGAGAGGTTAAGGCCTCCCCTGGGAAGTCTGAACTAGGTTCTATGCAAATGACAATGGTGTGGCTTGGGCAGTATATGGGGCCACTGGCAGGGAGACCAGGATCGAACTCTAATGCATGAACTGACTCTGTGGAGCCCAATCTCTATGTAGTTATACCCTGCTCAGCCTCAGCACTGGGGGAAGGGGGATTCGTCCTGCCTCAGCGAGGTAATGGGATATACTTAGTTTCCAACTATACTTTTTAAAGAAAAAAATGTAAAATGTTCAAGTTCAAAGATACAAAGGTCTGCACAAAAGGCCTCTGTCACTCTGGTGTCTGCCCCCCCCCCCGCCCCGCCCGCCCAATCCCCAGTCCCTGTCTGTCCTGAGCTATTCAGATCTGCTGCCACCGCTCCAGCAACTCGGCCTTTCACCCTTGTTAGGTCTCAGGCTCTCCACACGTCTAGAAGAGCTGGACTATAGGAGGATTTCTGCCCGATAGGTAAAAGCCAGCTTTCCTCAGGGGCTCGTGACATGGCAGTGAGATGGCCTTCCCGTCCTCAAAAGCTGTCCCTCATCCTGCACAGAATTCTCATGATTTGTCCTCCCGCGCTCTCTTGCTCCCTGGGGCTCTCTCGCTTGCTCGTCTCCACTCTTCTTTCCTGTATCTCTGGCCCTGGCCGTGTCCAGCCTGCTTTCCTTTCTCTCTTCTCTGGGCTTTTCCGGGTGCTTTTGGATATTCTGGAGTGGAGAGGTCATGTCGGCAGTTTCTTTACTGTTCCCTGCATATACCCATGTCAGGCACGGGCCACAGTGTCCGGTTTCCTTTTCCTGTCTCCCCTTTTTTCTTTTCAGATCTTAATTGCCGTTATTTATAATATATAGCAGCTCAGACCTAAAATGCTTCCGATTCCCCCAGTTTCGGTCTTGCTTACCACTTTGCACGTGGTGGCTTCTGACCCAAAGAATCTGTGGTCTAGGTTTTATTTATTTATTTATTTATTGGTTTAGGTTTTTTTCCTTTTTTTTAATTTATTTATTTATTTATTAAAGATTTCTGCCTCCTCCCCTCCACCGCCTCCCATTTCCCTCCCCCTCCCCCAATCAAGTCCCCCTCCCTCATCAGCCCGAAGAGCAGTCCGGGTTCCCTGCCTTGTGGGAAGTCCAAGGACCTCCCACCTCCTTCCAGGTCTAGTAAGGTGAGCATCCAAACTGCCTAGGCTCCCACAAAGCCAGTACGTGCAGTAGGATCAAAACCCAGTGTCATTGATCTTGACTTCTCAGCAGTCCTCATTGTCCGACCCAAAAAGAGGAACATGGGATGTACTCACTCATATTTGGTTTCTAGCCATAAATAAAGGACATTGAGCCTATAATTCGTGATCCTAGAGAAGCTAAATAAGAAGGTGAACCCAAAGAAAGACACATAGTCATCCTCCTGGAGATTAACCTTCATCGGGCGATCAAAGGAGACGGAGACAGAGACCCACATTGGAGCACCGGACTGAAATCTCAAGGTCCAAATCAGGAGCAGAAGGAGAGAGAGCACGAGCAAGGAACTCAGGACTGCGAGGGGTGCATCCACATACTGAGACATTGGGGATGATCTATCCAGACCTTAACAAGGCCAGCTGGCCTGGGTCTGAAAAAGCATGGGATAAAACCGGACTCACTGAACATAGCGGACAATGTGGTCTAGGTTTTAAAGCAGGCTGTTTTCTTCTGTTTCATATGGCTTTATTATGTTTACCCCCAGAGAAGGGAAGTGTGAATTAACGGTGCCCTTTTGAAAGTCCCGGGTTGACTTCTCTTGGCTTTAACTCTCTGTGTGTAGGGAGGGCATGCACTTGAGTGGGGGTGCAAAGGCCTGTATGTGCACAAGCCGAGGCCAGAGCAGGTGTCTTTCTCTGTAACGCCCCATGGTTACTGCTTTTACACAGGGTCTGTCATGAAGCCAGAAGCTGTTTTGGCTGAGCTGGTTGGCCAGCAAACTTCCGGGACCTGCCTGTCTCCACCTCTCAGTTTAACTGCTGGGGTTACAGTTATGAACAAGTAACAAGAAAAATCCCAAAATTAATCAAAAAATTCTGAAATTTGTATCCAATTCCCCCTTCCCCCGAGCCCCTGGTCATCACCATTTTACGTTGTGTCTACAGTTCTATGTCACATAAATGGAATCTCGGTGGTTTTCTTTTTGCGATTGGCTTAGGTCACTTGGCATGATGTCCTTGTTTCTACAAAGAAGATATTCAGATGAGTAGAGGATGTAACTTAGTTGATACTGTGTTTGCCTGATATTCACAAAGCCCAGAGTTCAGACCCCAGCCCCAATAAGCCAGGGCCGGTGATAGGTGCTTGTAATCCCAACATTTGGAAGTGGAGGGGGGAAAATCGCCAGGGCCAGTGATAGGTGCTTGTAATCCCAACACTTGGAAGTGGAGAGGGGAAAATCAGAAGCTCAAGGTCAGTCTTGGCTGTATGGT